TTATTTTTTTTTAATTTTAAATGTATATTTTTTATTGTAAAGATACTGTACAAAGGAGTTACAGTTATGAGGATCACAGTTTAAAATCAGCCCAGACTCTCATCTCCAATTAATCAGTAAAATGCTACACTAGAGGCATTCCGCCGGTGTGTGGTAGAACATCATCCATGAGCAGGAAAGATGAGCAAGATCTTGAAACCCTGAGTTTAAGCCCCAGTACTAACACAAAAAGAATTTTTAAAAGAGTATGGCTTAACTAGTAGATAAAAAACAGAACCCCCAGAGAGCATAAAATACTAAGAATCATGTGAATCACACAGTTTGATTTCCTTTTTTAATTTAGCTTACATTAGGTTGGGAGGTATTGAAGCTAGACAGATATAAAAGTACATTTCATGGACATATGCATATAAAATATAAATAAGTATATAGATAAACGGAAGAGAGTAAATCTGAAATAGATCACAAGTATATATGAAAACGCATAGAGAAATTTAATGGAAGCTGTTGATCAAAAGGGGGATGCGTGAGAGGGAAATCAAAAGAGATTGGGGGATACTAGTGTGAAAGAGGTTGTTGAATACTGTCAAAGTAAATTCTTTACTATGAAAATAGAGCCATTAAACCTGATGAAATTGTTTTGAGAAGGGGGACTGTTTTGATAGAGGGGTGAGACTGATTAGAATACATTGTAAATGTGTGGAAATGTAACCATTACCAAGAAGGTTTTTGGGCTTTGGTTTTTTTGTGTAGGCACTCAGGACCTGGGCACTGTCCCTTAGCTTTGTTGCTCAAGACTAGCACTCTACCACTTTGCCTTTTTTGGTAGATTAGTGTCTCCTGGAGCCAGGTGCTGGTGGCTCACACCTAGCTACTTAGGAGGCTGCGATCTGAGACTGCAGGTTCAAAACTAACCTGGGCAGAAACTCATTATCTCCAGTTCCATCAGAAAACTGGAATTGGCACCGAGGCTCCAAGTGGTAGAACACTAGCCTTGAGCAAGAAGAGCTCAGGAACAGCGCCCAGGTCGGGCTCTGAGTTCAAACCCCAGGACCCCCCCCCCCCCGTCCTCCCCCCCCCACACACACACAAAAGTGTCATGGACTTGCCTGTTTGAGCTAGCTTTGAATTGTTATCTTCAGATCTCAGACTCTTAGATTGATAGGATTTATAAGTGTGAGCGTCCAGTGATTAACTATGTAGAGGTATTTTGATCAACTCTGCTTCCTCAAAAAGCTTGTAGCAAAGATTATCCTTACAAGAACTTGCAAAAAATAAGTAATATTTACCTATGATGAAATTTAAAAGGCCAGCTCTTAAACTTGAATTTGATAGTTTTTTTCATAGTCTGACTGTTGTAATTACATAAATTATTCATGAAAAGTAGCTTTTGAGCTAATGGAGTGTAGCTAAATTTGAATTTGTTAAAATAGCCCCATCTAGCTGCTTTACATGAAAATGTGTTAATTGGTTGCTCTGGCCTCTTTACTTAACCCTTACTTAGAGCTGTGTGGAGCAGGCACTGAAGTTTAAGTTTATATATGCAAAGCCTATAACTGAATGACTTTTGCAGCAGTGCTTCAAAAGATAACACTGTTGTGTTGTATTTGACAAATAGTATACTAAAGTAAAATGGGTGCATACCAGTACTGCTTTTGTATTTATAACTGATATATGTAAATTTTTATGTTATTTAATTTTTTACAATGATCAAGATATTCATAAACTCTATTCATAAACTGCTTTGTTAAATAGTTAAAAAATACTTTTTAAGGTTTTGATCCTGTCTCCATTGTAATTTTTTTTGTTTGCTTTTTTTGTTTGTTTGTTGTTGTTGTTATTTTTGAGGGTCCCGTCGTGGGGCCTGAACTCTGGGCCTGGGCGCTGTCCCTCAGCTCTTCAGCTCAAGGCTAGTGCTCTACCACTTGAGCCACAACACCACTTCTGGCAAAAAGCTTATGTGGTGCTGAGGAATCGAACGCAGGGCCTCATGCATTGCAAGGCAAGCACTCTACCACTGAGCCCCCTTCCCAGCCCCATTGTAATTTCTTATATAATGGTTTCATTGCCCCTTGCATCCTCTGTATTTTTTCTATTCACTTCTTTCTTCCTTTCCCCTGGTTTACCACTCATCTTTTTACTGCCTCTTTTGTTTTGGCTTTTTCAGAGTAGAATTAAAGAGTATGTAGTATTTTCAGATTGACTTCTTTCACTTAGTAATTTCACTGAAGAGTCCTGCATGCCATTTGATGGCTTGGTTGATGGTTCATTTCTTTTTCCTGCTAAATAATATTTTATCGTCAGGATGCACCACAGTTTATTCACTATCTGGAGATTAGCTTAGTTGCTTTCAAGTTTTAACAGTGGTGATGAATCTGCTTCTTTTTTTTTTTCTTTTTTGTCAGTCATGGGGCTTGAACTCTGGTCTTGGGCGCTATCCCTGCACTCTTCAGCTCAAAGCCAGTGCTCTACTGCTTGAGCCACAGTGCCACATCTGGTTTTGTAGTGGTTTATTGGAGATAAGAGTCTCACGGACTTTCCTGCCAGGGCTGGCTTTGAACCGAGATCCTCAGATCTCAGCCTCCTGAGTAGCTAGGATTATAGGCGTGAGCCACCAGCACAGGGCTGACCCTTAGCTTTTTCACTTCAAGCATTCTACCACTTTGGCCATATCTCCTTATCAGGCCTTTTGGTTGTTAATTGGAAATAAAAGTCTTATGAATTTCCCTCCCTTGGCTGGCTTTGAGCCATGATTCTTTTATCCCTGTCTCCTGAGTAGCTAGGATTACAGGCATGAAACACTTGTGGCCAGCTAATCTGTTCTTTAAAATCAGGTTTCACTTTGTAACCCAGACTGGCCAAGGACTCAGATGGAATACTTCTGTCTCATCTGCCCAAGTGCTGGTATTACAGGAATTTGCCACCACTTTGATTTACTTTGTTTTAAAGATCAAGGCATTCATTTTTTTGAATATTAAAAGTTCTTTTCTGTATTTTGGATTATACTCCCTTTACCAGGTGTGTCTTTTGCAGACGTTTTTCCTCCAAGTCTATGGTTTATGCTCTTTCCTGCTAATTCCTTTTTTCTGGAGGGTGGGGAGGGGCAGGGGACCTCTTCTAAATTTTTTATGTCCGAAGATTAACAATAATATCATAAAAATTAGTCCATTTACAAGTTCATATTTTAAGTACACAAACTTTGGTTGATTCAATGTATTGGTTTTCCTCATCAGACTTTGAATTTATGTCAGCTACACTGACATGAAGTGAAATATGGAAATAAACTTTGGTAAATTTTTTTCTCAATAATAATCAATTACTTGATAACTTAAAGTATTTCAAATCCCACTATATAACTCATAAAAAATACTTATAAAGTTGGTAATTTGCCAAATTATTATTTTATTTTTCTAATAGTTCTAAAGAGTTCTAGTGATAGTGGGTTAGTTTGCTTTTGTAGATACTTTTAAAAAGAAAACAGAATTACTTTGTGTTAAAATATAGTAAACATTTTATGGTTCTATTTGTTTATTTGCAAAGGATGAGAGAATAGAGTAGGAGGGATAGAATGATTTAATTTTTTTTCTTTTTTATCATATATTATTTGTAGCACTTCCACTCTATTTCATGATTTAATCTTTTAGTTAAAGGAATATATTTAAATAGTATAAGAACTTAGTCTCACCTTACTCTTCTCCATCGGTCAAAAGACAGTTTCTTTGTTCTCTGCTTAATTGGGTTTACGGATAGAATTTCCAGACCTTGGTTATTATGCTAATTTACTGGCTCCAGTCATTGAAAGGGATCGGATTTCTGGCAAATAAGCTCACTGCCTCCCCTAACCACAGTTTCTCTGTTCCAAGGAGTAGTAAAATAAGCTTGAAATGAGAGAGAGGCAACCTGGAGTACCAAATAGAAGAGAAGCAGTTTGTAAACAGGAAAGCCATCAGAATTTAGGTGAACAGAAAATAAATCTCTTAAATGAGTTGAGCTTCTGGTTTTTAGCCCAAGAAGTTTTAGTTTTTTACAAAGAAAAATACATGTGCTGTAGGTTTTAACAACAATCTAGTCAGGGTCAAAATTTATTTATGCAGTCTTTTTTCAAGTGGTGATAATTTCAAGTGGTGTATTATGGCCTATTGCTGGAAATTACAAGTAAGTACAGGTATTAGTGTACTACTACTTGCTGTTTTAGAAAAAAAATAGACAAATGGTTTACTTTTAGTTCTTTATCATTTTTACTACTATTTGTAGTCTAGGACATCTAAAGTAGAAGTTACTAAAAATTATTTGGAAAATTATATTTGGTATTTAAAATTTTTATCAATGAATTGGTAGAAAAATTGAATTTATTAACATGATTATGTTGTATGATTCTATAGCAAAGTAAAACTTAGGATATAAAACAGCTTCTTGTGTTTGTATTAGTATATTAGTGAAGAGTACCTACATTTTTTTATTAGGGAATTTTTTTCATAGTTGAAAATAATTGGTTTTTGCTTTTGCTGTACATATGTTGCGATAGTGTTATATTGCTGTTTGTGATATTGATACCAAACGAAATCCATTAATAGGCAAAAGCTTTCCATACTTCAAAGGGCATATAAATTTATAATTGAGTTAGGTAAGTATAATAAATAGGCAGCCCCACAGATGTCTATTATGCATGCATGTTTCCTAGCTACACACTTTGAAATTTATCTGTTTTATATCAGTAGAGTAACTTATTAAATATTATATCAAGGTTTCTTTCTTTCCCTTGGAAATATGGCCTCTAGTGTTATAAGACATATTTAAGACTAAATCTGTAAAAATACTCCTTTAAAAAAAAAAGGTCAGATTTTTTGAACAGTGTTTTTTTAAAAAAGTATACTGTATGTAAGTTAAGTATATTATATTAATGAAATTCAATGTTAAGAACATCCCTAAAGATGAAAAGACTTTTCAAATATTCTCATTATCGTAGCATTAGTTTTATCTGAAATGTTTTATGTCCATAGGAAGAACAGGCAGCAAAATTGAAAGCTGAGAAGATCAGAGTTGCTCTAGAGAAAATTAAAGAGGCTCAAGTGAAAAAGGTAATATTTGTCCTATTGAATGTTGGAATTTTTATCCATTTTTTGAAGAATTACCTTATTTATCTGTTTCCCTCATCTATGGAGAGGAGGGGTAGTATTTTTTCTTTTTTTCACATGTAGTATGTTTTAAACACTTGTTTCTAATTCTCCTAAAAAAAGATAAAGGAATAATTGTAACAGAATAACACATTATTATAAATTTAAAAATCTTTACATTGATCTAGATAGGTTGCTTGATACTTAATTTCAGCCTTTTTCATGATTTAGTCATTATTTATGTTTTAATTTATATTTAAATACACTAATCTATTTGGTATTGAAAAATACCTTTCTCTAGAATGCCATTTTTTGGTTTTCATATAATTTCAATCTTAACTATTACAGCTGGTGATTAGAGTCCATATGTCTGATGATAGTTCTAAAACAATGATGGTGGATGAGAGGCAGTCAGTGAGACAAGTGCTGGATAACCTTATGGACAAATCCCACTGTGGTTACAGCTTAGATTGGTCACTAGTGGAAACCATTTCTGAATTACAAATGGGTGAGTAAGGTCATTGCTTAAATTGCTTATTAACTTCCAAGTAATTCCAACCATTTCGTGTCAATTGAAGCATTTTGAGGCACCTTTATCATTTTTCCTATAAATTTTTATGCTAATATTTTATTATTTGCCCTTTCTATATATTATTTTTAAGAAAGGACTTCTTTTAGTAAGACAGGTTACAATAGGGAAAAATAGAGAAGCTTTCAAAATTGTTGAAGCTGAGTAGTTTTTTAAGGTATCAAAATACTGTTCTTCAAAGAAGAATGGTATAAATATTCACATTTATTAGTACTAGTACTTGTACTAAAGTTTTATTTTTTTGTCGGTCGTGGGACTTGAACTCTGGGCCTGGGCGCTGTCCCTCAGCTCTTCAGCTCAAGGTGAGCGCTCTACCACTTGAGCTACAGCGCCGCTTCTGGTTTTCTGGTGGTTTATTGGAGATAGGAGTCTCACGGTCTCTCCTGCCCAGGCTGGCTTTGAACTGCGATCCTCAGATCTCAGCCTCCTGAATAGCTAGCATTCCAGGCGTGAGCCACCAGCGCCCGGCTTGTACTAAAGTTTTTATATTAGCACTTAACTTTCAAGGAAAACAAAAAAACATCAATTTCAGAGAGCAAATATCTAGAATATATTCTTCAGCATATGCTCAGTACTAATTTGGAAATTAGTAAATATACATACATTTAAAATCAGGTAATATTTCTGGATCATGGAAGAAATCATCTTGCAAATTTTTGAATGCTGAGAACCAAATGCTATTGGAAATGTTTGATATCAAAGTAAATAAAATGCAAGTTATGTTTAATTTTTAAGGATAGAATGGGAAAAAAAGCTAAAGGCTGAATAATGATATAACTTAGAAGACTTCATGTATCCATTGTGTGGCCTTTGTTAAGTCATGTCACATCACTAGGACATGTTCCTTGTTTTCAAAAATGAGAGAAAACCAGATAATCTGTACAGGTCAAAATAATAATTTCAAAATAATGAAGTATTGATATTTTGGGGACAGAGAGAATCTTCGAAGATCATGAAAACTTGGTTGAAAATCTTCTCAATTGGACAAGAGATAGCCAAAACAAGCTTATATTTATGGAGCGCATAGAAAAATATGCACTTTTCAAAAACCCACAGGTGAGACGAATGACTTACAGATGTCAGGGTTTTTTAAATGGATCTTATTATTCAATAACAGCTAAGTTTATAGAGTTACAAAACTGGTATCATCTGATTAGAGCATAATACTGGAAATCCCCATAGGAAAATTAATTACTACTACTGAGGTAGAAAGTAAGCTGGGGTTCAGGAGATTCCCAATCCCACAAAGTCAAGTGAGGCAACCCCTGGGGGAATCATAAGTAACTCTAGGGTTTACACTCTAAATCTAGAGCTGTGTTGAACCCAATTGCTTTTATATGATTTATTTTATCTGACTTATTTGGCATCTTTCTTTATTCCAATGTTGGAGTTGTTACTTTCAAACACTTAGACATTTAATCAAAATGACTCGGTAGCAAAAGCCACAAATTCCACATTAAAAATGGTAGTGAGAAGAACAGCAGCAATGTTATAGTGATTAACCTTCAGCCTTGATTATCATATTTTTTCCTGTGAAGAATACATATATTTTTATAGAGAACTGGAAAACAATTATCATAATGATCACAGTTTAGGTTTTAGTATGCCAAGCAAATGAGATTATTATAGTCTTACTGAATTTGGAATTTCTCAAAACATCAGAGCATAAATTAAAAATATGCTGAACCCTGCTTTAAAAATATGCTGGTTCAGATTTTTAAAGGACTTTTCCTTTTTATCCCTGTTAATTTGTAAACTTGTACAAACTTTCAATGTATCCTTCATTAAATATGGCAAAATATTTGTCATCTGTTGCATATAATAATGTCACCTCAGGATTTGGAAGAAGACAGTTTGTGGAGTAAATGATGACAAGTATTTAAGGAAAGGCTAGTGTTGAACATTGTAATGATAATGTTATCCGAACAGTAGGAGCTTTTTTGAAGGTATAGTTCCCTTACTCCATGCTGGCACAGATACCTAGTTTTTATTCCTCTAAAAGCAATAATATATGCACACATGTTTAGATAATGAGTTTGTCCTTTAACTTTCATTTCATTGTGTTTCCAGAATTACCTTCTAGGAAAAAAGGAAACAGCTGAGATGGCCGATAGAAACAAAGAAGTGCTATTAGAGGTATAAGTCCTCTGTTCTTTTTTTGATACATTTTGAAATTAAACCATTAAGCATCTTTTGAAACCCACTGTGTCAGTGCTCCATATTTCTAATCATAAATGTAAATGGAGGAGCCTGTGTTCTTTGATAGCATGATAGAGCTCAATGTTGGAAGCATGTTAGGCCTTAATTATTTATTTATTTTTGGATCAGTTGTGGATCTTGAACTCAGGGGCCTGGATGCTGTCCTTAAGCTCTTTTGCTCAAGGCTAGCAATCTACCACTTTGAACCACATCACCACTTCTGGTTTTCTGATGGTTAATTGGAAATAAGAGTCTCACAGACTTTCCTGCCTGGGCTGGCTTTGTGTACTTCGATCCTTAGATCTCAGCCTCCTGAGCTGCGAGGATTATAGCTGTGAATCACCAGCACCAGGCTACATGGTTGTCTTTTAATATACTAGATTTTTTCCTAAGTGAAAGCAGTAGAATTTAAAAAGTAAGTTTATTTATATATCTTTCAGCATTTAGTTTTAAATATTTTAAAATAAGGACTGGAAGTGTGGCTTAAGGTTAGAGTATCTGCCTGATATGTGTAAGGACATGGGTTGAATTCTCAGCACTATAAATGTAAAAATGAAAAACGTACACAAAATTCTTTGACCAAATAAATTGGTATTTTTGTAAATTGCTATTAATCATCAATTACCATGTTGCTGTTTGGCTCTATTCCTTTTTCTTGACAATCTAATGTGATTTAGAAAAAAATAGGATAGGGACTGGGAAGGTGGCTCAGTGGTAGAGTGCTTGCCTTGCATGCATGAGGCCCTGGGTTCAATTCCTCAGCACCACATAAGCATAAAAAGCCGGAAGTTGTGCTGTGGCTCAAGTGGTAAAGTGCTAGACTTGAGCTGAAGACCTGAGGGACAGCGACCAGGCCCAGAGTTCAGAGTTCAGTCCCACAACTGCCAAAAAAAAAAAATAGTGTAATACTAGCTCTGACATTTTTATTAATGCTGTTTAGAAGTATAATTAAATACTATTATATGTAATTCATTTTAATTCAGTTTTTATACAAAACTATTAAGCAAAAATTCATGGGTAAAAATTCATTGTGTTTATGATGGATTTTTTTTTACATACTAAGCATTTTTAGGATTGTCACAATAGTTCTAAAATAAACTCATGTGTTTAAAATGGAAAGTTCTAATTCAGATAAAAGCAACATGTCTCTAATACAAGACCATGTTGATGGAGTAGAGTGTGATACAACTCAGAGGTTTGCATATATAACTTTTGTCCCCAAAAATCCAAGGATCATAAATCTTTTCTAATCATCTACTTACTTTTTTAAAGGAATGTTTTTGTGGAAGTTCTGTAACTGTACCAGAAATTGAAGGAGTCCTTTGGTTGAAAGATGATGGCAAAAAGTCTTGGAAAAAGCGTTACTTTCTCTTGCGAGCATCTGGCATCTACTATGTCCCTAAAGGAAAAGCAAAGGTGTGTCCTTTTATAAGCTGATGAGCCTCCTTTATTGTGCTTGTTCCTTCCTTGCTTGCTTTTTTCCCTCCCTCCCTCCCTCCCTCCCTCCCTTCCTTCCTTCCTTCCTTCCTTCCTCTCTCTCTCTGTCTCTCTCTCTGTCTCTGTGTGTCTGTCTGTCTGTCTCTCTCTCTCTTTCCTTTTTTTTCGCCACTCCTGAGGCTTTAACTCGGCCTGGGTGCCCAGATGGCTCCTTTTACTCAAGGCTAGCATTCTAGTACTTGAGCTACAGCACCACTTCTGGCTTTTTCTGTGATTTAATTGGAGATAATAGTCTTATCGACTTTCCTGCCCTAGTTGGCTTCAAACTGTAATCCTTAGATCTCAGCCTCCTGAGTAGGTAGGAATATAGGCAGAGCCTCCAGAGCTGGGCTGGAAGTTACCATTAGCCTGTAGTTTCAGGTCGGGCAGACTGAAAGCCTTTGTTACTATCTATTGTAAAGAAGAGGAAACTTGAAAATTTTCACTTCTGTGATCACTGAACTAGCTATCTCAGTTTACTTACCAAATTTAAATTGTAAATTTATTTTTAGAACTTTTACCAGAGTAGTTTTATTGTTTTTTGTTTAGGGAGAATTACTTCCTGGGATTATAGTCATATCAATCTCAAATAGTACGTTTGGTTTGGTTTGGCTTTTTATCAGTACCCAAATTTGAGCTGTAGGCCTTGTATTTGTTCAGTAGGCACTGTAATACTTGAACACACTTCCAGCCTGGCTTTTGGCTGGTTACTTTGGAGCTAGAATCTCAAAGTCTTTTGCCCTTGCTGGCTTCAAACTGAAATCCTCTGCATCTCAGCCTTCTGAGTAGCCAGGATTATATAGGCATAAGCCTGTCTATAATACAAGTCATATGTTTTAGCTATCACTTTTATATTTATTCCAGGCCAGAACTATGTTAAGAATTTCAGAGTACGGTCTTACAACACCTTATGGGCATAAATTATACTCCCCCTCCTTTTTTTTCTTTTTTCTTTTTTTGGCCAGTCCTGGGGCTTAAACCCAGGGCCTGGTCACTGTCCCTAAGCCTGTCTGTGCTCAAGGCTATCGCTCTGGCTGCAGCACCACTTCCGGCTTTTTCTGTTTATGTGGTACTGAGGAATCGAACCCAGGGCCTCATGCATGCTGGGTATTCCCAGCCACTATTTTCCCCTGTTAACCAATAAGAAAATTCTTAGTAAGTCAGCATTCATTATGTATGGCAAAACAGTAAGAAAAATGGTCTGGCCTTTTTATTTCATCATGGACTAAAGAAAAAACCTTTATACAGAACTATACTGTCTTCTGCTAATTAGGAGTAATTTCTACTTAGTGAAATTTTAATTCTCAACCAAAAACTACTGCCAGGTATATTTTCTTTGTTGTGCATTACTGTTAATTCAGTCTTTTGGGTATTTTTGCCTCAGGTGTCTCGGGACCTGGTGTGCTTTCTCCAGCTGGATCATGTCAATGTTTATTATGGTCAGGACTATCGGAACAAATATAAAGCACCTACAGACTATTGTCTGGTACTAAAGGTAAATGCATACATCTCTTTAGGAATTTTAATTGATGTCAGATATAGGTTATTGCACATTTAAGAATAGTTTGGATCCCTATCATGTATACTATTTTTTCTTTATCCTATAGCTTGAAAAAGGAACAGTATGAGTGGGCATGTAGCTTAGATAGCTCTTGTCAAGTCCCTGGGTTGGCTCCCCATCACCAAGAGGGGAAGGTAGGAAAAGGATATAAAGGGTGGTAAGGAAAAAACAGTATGTTATTCCATAGCTAACTGTGAGCCCGTTAGCCCTAATTGTATTAGTACAATTATATTACGCAACTAAGGAGTAGATATTGATTATGAACTTAAGCCATAAGCTATAAGATATATTTCATTATAACTGTGAAACTCTAGTTCAATAGTAGGCTTTTTTTAGACAAACTTAGTGCTACATGAGGACACATAATTCTGTTTGGGTTATTTTTCTGTTCTTGCTTAGCAGAGCCATCAGAGGGCACTGTACTCAACCAAGTTCAAAATCAACTGTCATCTAATCCAGAAATAATCCTTATTTCACCAAACTATTAGTCCATGGTAACTGAGCAATTATTAGGAAGTTTTCTTCTCCTTTAATCCAATTTTTGATCTTCTACAAGTTATATCTGTACTTTTTGAGAAGACATTTTCACTTTTTTTGTTGTTGTTTTGGGCTGGTTCTGAGTCTTTAACTCAGGGCCTAGGCACTGCCTCTCAGCTTTTTATGAAGTTCTAAAATGAAATTTTGTTTAATTTTATCCTGGTACTAGGGTTTGAACTCAGAGGCTTATACTCTCACTTGGCTTTTTTACTCAAGGCTGGTGCCTTATCACTTAAGCCACAGCTCCACCTTTAGCTTTTAGGATACAGATCTCACCAATTTATCTGTTTGATGTGGCTTTGAATTAGAATTCTCTGATCTGAACCTCCTAAATAGCAAGAACTAACAGGTATTAGCCACCAGTGCCCAGCTCTACAGTGAACTTTAAATTAGCAAGCAGTCATATATGTGATTTGCAGATACTGAAATAATTTTAGTACATTTCAGGATATTATCTGGAATCCCAAGTTAGACAAGTAAGTGAGAAGGTAAAGGATTATTTGTCTCGAGTTGTCCCTGATGTGTTAATAAAAATAAAAATAATCTTTTCATGTAGAACATGAACAGAAGCAGCATGGAGATTCAGGAGGTCAGTTGCTATCGTTGGACAAACACCCACTCAACCCATGGAGTTGAGAATAGTTGTAACATGCCCAGAAGATCTGGGCATGATGGTGCATATCTGTAGTCCCAGCACTTGAACACTAAGACAGTTTAAGGGGCAGCCTGTACTATATGGTGAGACTTTGTCTCAAAAACAAAACAGATCAAGAATAGAAGGCGAGTATTATGAAAACTGCTGAGAATGATTATGTAGCAGTGTCCTTCAGAAGCAGAACAATCTTCCCAGCCTTAGTTGGCAACATTAAGCTCCAGTTGAATCAGCCAGTTTTATCTTCTGCATATATTGTGGCTTCTTTAAGACCAAGGAGCTTTTCACTGTATTATAAAACCTAGTTGAAGCATGTAACAAATATTTCTTGGGAGATAAATATTTGATGAATGAATAAAAATGAGGTGAAATTCCTCTTCCATTTGTAGAAAAGTATATACTCCTGTACCTATTGACTTAGGTCTTTCAAAATTGCTATGGCCTTTTATAAGAGTGAAATTTAATAGTATGGAAAAGGAATATGTTCCAAGAGGGGACTTACCTTTCCAGGAAGGAAAACTATTGGTATTGTTTTACTAACCTTTTGTTGTTGAAAGTGTTATTATTTAAAACTTTGACTATATGCTTCCACAAGAAAGTTGGCTGGGGGATTCAATGGTCTGGCCCAAATGGTAGCCTGCTTTCCTAAGTGCAAGGCACTGTGTCCAATTCCAAGTACTGCCAAGAAGGGAGAGAGAGAGCAAGTAAGTTGGCCTTGGTGAACATGGTGCTATAATAAAGAGCTAACTTTAGTAAGGTACTCAATAAAATACAATAAATGATTTACATTGCTTTCTCTCACTACAGACCAGAGTGACTGGTCTGTCACCACTACAAACCAGAGTGACTGGTCTGTAACTGTAGACACAAAATGTATATAAGTGGCCATCTGTTTCCACTGCACTGAGAACACACCCAGATTGCTTATTTTATTGTTCTCATGAGGTTCCGCAACCAATAAATTGTAATTAGGAAGTTTTGGAAAAGCTAAAATCTTTTAAAATATCTTTCTTATAATTGAACATACATTTAAACATTTTATCAAGTAAAATATAGTCTTTTTTATGACTGAAAAGAGTCGTAATAATCATAAATCTTTACCCTGAAACCCAGCATGATTTAGGACATTTTTTCCTAAGGAGCTAGTGAGTTAGGCCCAGTGTAATTAAAATAGCTTAAATCTGTTCTTAACACTTGAGTTTATACTTAAGGTTACAGGATTCACCCCATCCATCCCTCAGCTGACAAGTACAGTGGGTCCTGAAAAGCAACTTGCCCAACACGAGCGTGCATGCCCTCCTGTTTGTTTGGCAGAGGGAATCCTATAAAGGAATTTCTCAGTTTCCCGCTATAGCATCAGTTGTGGCCATGGATTCCTATCCCAGGTGCTAATTTGTGCGTTGCTGTGGGCCACTTACTCATGTGAGAAACATTGGAAGCTTCCTTGCTGGCCCCATGGAGTTTCCTGAAGCCATTATTTCAGAAGGTTCAAAATAAAAAACATTCCTTCCCCTTTTCATAGTCTAACATGGAGAAGCAGGAGAACAGTCTTAGTTTTGATAGACTATTATTGGATATTTGGGGATTTCTCAGGATGCAGGGGTTACTTTACCTTAGACATCTTGCCCTAAAATTTAACACGTTTTACTTCGCAAAACTATGTGTAGGATATTTTGTTTGGTCTTACAACTGTGTAAGAAGTAGATCTTAGTTGGCCATTATGGGACTATAACTTACTATAATATATTTAAGCTTTGCTAGAGTTCTGATTTCTTTAGTTCTCCAAGAGACTTGGTTGAATTTTGCCTTTAATTTTACAGCACCCACAGATTCAGAAGAAATCTCAGTATATCAAATACCTTTGTTGTGACGACGTGAGGACACTGCATCAGTGGGTCAATGGGATCCGCATTGCAAAGGTATGTTTTTTGTGTGGTTTGATAATAGAGTAGTGAGGTGTTCAAATGGGCATGTTTGTCACAACAGTTTAGAATTTTTTATGCTCATAATTTTGCCATTGTCCAGTTTTCTTAAATCCAACTTTCCTGTTAGTTTGTTTAAAAAAAAAAAAAAAAAAAACCTGAGTGTTGTGTGCATGCTAAACAGGCTGTTCTACCAACTACCAGCCCTGGTTTTTTTCAGGTAGGATCTGGTGGGTTTTTGCCAGGGCCATCTGGGGTGACAGGTACACACATTGCCCAGTTTGTTAAGATAGGGTCTTGACAAACCCACGCTGGCCTTAAACCACGATTGTCCCAATCTCTGCCTGCCAAGTAACTAGGATTACTAGATTACTAAATTGTCTTTCTTTTTTTTTTTTAAGTTATTTTTTTTGTCAATCGTAGGGCCTGAACTCTGGGCCTGGGCGCTGTCCCTCAGCTCTTCAGCTCAAGGCTAGCACTCTACCATTTGAGCCACAATGCCACTTTCGGCTTTTTCTGCTTATGTGGCACTGAGGAATGGAACCCAGTGCCTCATGCATGCAAGACAAGCACTCTACCATTGAACCACCTTCCCAGCCCTCAGTTTTTTTTCTTAAATGTCTTTTGTCCTTAGTGAGAGATAAAATAAACTTTTTAATCCATTGGTATGCATGGAAAAATACTGCTGGTAAAAGCTTTTGCAACTCAAAGTATTTTGGCTTGAGAGAATGTATTATATTCAATGTAAATAGCGAAAGTAAATGCAAGCAAAAAAAGAAAAAAAATTTCAATGCTATATTTAAACTCAGAGCATTAGGAACATGATAGGCAAGTAATCTACCCGAGTCACACTGCCATTCTACAAGTAATCTACCTCAGAGTCACACCGCCATTTTAAAAGTAAATACATGTAAAATTAAATTAACTATGGAACACTGATTAACCAGATTCAGAGTAACATCCTAAATAATGCTGAGATTCTGACCTAATGAAGAATTTTGGAGGAAATACGTATCTATATATAATGAACATGACCAAAACAACCATTAGTTTCCTGCTGCTCTTCTACAAGTGAATAATAAGAGCAGATTTATTAAGAGACTTTTTGGAGTATTTCAAGTATTAGTTCAAACTGAGTCAATATATAGAAATGTGGTCCTTTCCCATCTCATCCTTCCATATTGTACCTAGTAAAGCTCAAATGTCATCATTTACGCCTCTGTTCAGTATGGGAAGCAACTCTACATGAACTATCAAGAAGCCTGGAAGAGGACAGAGTCAGCCTATGATTGGACTTCTTTATCCAGCTCCAGCATTAAATCAGGTTCCAGTTCTTCTAGCATCCCAGGTAGTTATAAATACCTCAAAACACTATTTTGCTGTCAACATGAAGTCTTTGTAGAGACTGTTAGTAGACCTTGTCATTTTAGCTTGTGTCCCTTAAAAACCAAAGCCATACCTAATTTCTGAGTTTTGTAGTATCATGGATACTAATGTGGATACTAATGGATACTAATCCAAATGTAGATACATTTGAAACAGGAAATCACTTCTGTAGACATAAAGAAAGCTAGGAGTTTAGTTATATTTGCTAAGTTTATTTAAAACTTACATATACTGCTATAATGCATGGGATTAAAAAGTGGTTTAGGGAAATCTCTGAACTCAAAAATCCATGAGGAAGCTTCCTTTCTTCACTTAGGCTTCTAGACAGTTGAGTGAAATAGGAATACTTGGAACTACTTCAGAATTACAGTCAAGGCAGCCATTTAGGTCATTCAGCTTTCTAAAGTGACACTCAAAAGGGGCTTGCAGATTCCTACATGCTCTAAAAAGTATGTCATTTAAACTTAATGCTTCTTCTCTTCCAGAATGTTCCCTGGAGGATATCCGTATCACCTAAAAGCAGAATGTTTTATTGTTCATTGATTCAAAAACTGTATGACTTGATTTCTATCTTTTAAGTAATTAGGAACAAGTTTAGAGTAGTACTATGTGTACACTCAAAGCAGCATGACAAAGAGTAGGTCAGAGGGACAGGAGCCAATCTGGAAGTGCTACACGGACCAAAGTTGAAATTATCTGAGCAGTAAAATACATACTGTAGTGTAAGGTTGTGACCCATGTTAGAAAATAAGCACCGTGAGTCCATTCTGCTATAAATTATTGAATCAAGGAGAGCCACATGCCCCAAACAAAAGATTTCCAAATGATGTATGTATATACTTCTCCCAAAGAGATAGACCTTACCTCTCCATTCCTCGAGTATGGGTACACAGCAACTTACTTGCAGAGGGCAGTTAACGTCACAGTGGAGAAGCCGTACTTCAGCCAAGTGACCAGAAGCAGCAGCATCCGTCACAGTCAACAAGTCCCTTGATATGATGTGATGAGAGTGACTTTCTCCCTGTGGGGTCTTCCTCCCCAGCTCCCATAACCTCAGCTAATTGGTCTGACACACCAACACTTGAAGGACACTCTGCAAAATACGTGACCAACCGTCTTTCAACTGGGCTTCTACATCCCTCTGGCATACTCTTCATCATGCTATTTTTGAGTACATAAGAGATGAGATCAACTCATAACAGCTTTTAAATTAATAAACAGTAAAAAAAAAATCTGCTTGTGGGGGATATGGACATGATTCAGGGAACATTTTAGAAAGGGTACATAACTATCTTGCCTGACCTAGAGTCCAGGGAAATAATTTTTCCCTCGGCCCAGGTAAGAGACAGAGGCACCCTGTGCCCTCACCACCATTTCTTCTTCCTTGTGGTTTTTCCTCCCTGCCATGGAGTTCAGGCTCCAGCATTGCTGTTACCCCGTGCAGCACTTAAAATTCTTAGGAAACACACTTTTATTTTGTTGCTTGGACAACAAATCATACTAATTCCTAAGAAAAGAGAAGTGATCATTATTGTTAAGTCTGAATTCGTAAGTTATAACTCTGATATCGTATCATAAAAGCTGATAGTAAAGATTAGATTGGAAATGACTTACTTGTTCATTGATGGTTCATTTTTTATTTTGCGTGAGACAAGAGTGTCAGTCCAAAACAATCACCTAGATTTATCTGATTATTTCCTAGATTCAGAGTAAATGCTTTTGGTAATAATAATACAAAAGTGTTACATTTGATCAATATATTCTTTTAGCGATATTGGTGTATTCCTTTAATTAAAAAATGTCAGAATCCCAACAATATATGACCTCTTATGGAAATTATTTAAAGAGCAAAGATTTCCTCAACTCTAATAAGAGAAAATTTCTAGTGGAAAGTTCTGGCTGTGTTTGTAATGGAATGAGATGAGTAAAACTAACTTCTGTTGTCCTTCATAGCATTTGACCTTGCATACAAAATTAAAAATGCACTTCATATTGTCAGAAATTATTAATAATCTTTAAAAAAAAACTTTTAAACAGAGTCTCAGTCAAATCACTCCAATCAGTCTGACAGTGGAGTTTCTGATACCCAGCCAGTAGGACACATCCGTTCCCAGAGCATCGTGAGCTCCATCTTCTCTGAAGCCTGGAAACGAGGCACTCAGTTGGAAGAGTCCAGCAAGGTAATATGCTATTTTAATCTACTTAGGGAAATCCATGGTATTACAAGTGCTCTTTTTTCCTTTAGGTCCTTTTAGATCTTCAGCCCTTCTAATTTAAATGGAAACAAAATCATTTCAGAGAGAGATGATTTGACTTCCCCTCAGAAATGAATATTTATAAATTGATTCTAATAAACTAAGATCTCTTGTTAATGCTAAGCACTGTGGCTCCTGCATGTAATCCCAGCTACTCAAGAGGCTGAAATCTGATGATCTCAGCCAGTCTGGACAGAAAAGTCCAGAGTACTGTGGCTCAAAGTGGTAGAACTCTAGCTTTGAATACAACAGCTCAGGGACAATGCCTAGAACCTGAGTTTAAGAACAAGGAACAGCAAAAAAAAAAAAAAAAGTTTTTTGTAAATTTAAGTTTCAAAATTTTAAAACAAAAAAATTTAAGATATTAAAAAAATTTACCTTCCTATCCTTAACAGTTGACTAGGCCAACACCATGTATTGCCAGTGACCCTGCACCTGTTCCAGAGAAGCTGCTTCTGGTCCCTTAATTCACTATTAAGTTATTCAAAATCATTCCTTTCTTTTTTGATTTTTGACATTTCTCTGGGCATTTATAATTTTTTTCAAATTATTCTTTTATGTGAAATATTAAATTCAAATTTATCCCTTTAAAATTTTGGATTCTTGAGCTTTGTGTGATAGATTATTCAAGGATACTAAAGAATGAGTGTAACCCGGTGCTGGTGTCTCAGGCCTGTAATCCTAACTATTCAGGAGGCTAAGATATGAGGATCATGGTTTGAAGCCAGCCCAGGCAGGAAAATTTGTGAGACTCTTATGGCCAATTAATCACCAGAAAACCAGAAGTGGCTCTGTGGCCTGAAGTGGTAGAACGTTAGCCTTGAGCAAAAAAGTTCAGGGACAGCGCCCAGGCCCTGAGTTCAAGCCCCACAGCTGACCCCCCCCCCAAAAAAAATATTTATTGCACAAGAATAGGGAGTTTTTTGAATCAACTAAAAGACACAAGAGTCCTCCATCGAATAGGCTCTCGCTGTGTAGAAGAGGGTATGTCTTTGCGGTGTTCTGGCTGTAGTCACCACTTCAAGGTTCAAGAATGTGCCTCTCATGAGGAGCCAATAACACCCCGCCTAGAATGTTTTGTTTTTACCCAATCATCATTTCGGGTTTTTGGTGTTTTTTTGGAGTCACACAAATACTTTCACAACTAAGAGTTAGATGAGCATTTAAATATATTCCTTTTCTTTATTAAAACAAATGTATTCCTTAATTTGCACATGTAGTTAAACCACATGTGGAAAGGAAGGAATGGAGGAGGCATTAGTTGCCTAGTGTTGGGGGGTAGAGCTTCCTTCAGAAATGTTTGAGAATTGGTTCTAATGACATAACTTCTCAGAACAGCTTACTGTCATCAAACTCAGACTTTTAAGAAATAATTCTCTTACCTCCCCTTTTAATCCATTCTAGACAAGCTGATCTACATTAAAGTGTCTGAACAAAAATCCTTTGCCAAATTATTGATGGCAAGATCCATATACATTTTAAGTTTTAGAACAACCCAATTATGACAGGAAAGCAAAGGCCTAAGTATTATGTGATGAAGAAGCAAAGTCAAAGTTAGGTATAGGAGTGCATACCTGTAATCCCAGCACTGGGAAAGTGAAGACCAGAGGACTGAGAGTTGGCCATTGGGCTACATAGAGCTCCAAGCCAGTGTGAGCTGCATACTAAGATGCAGAGTCAAAAAGAAAAAAGACATGAAGTCCAACACTGCAGTTTCATAAAGAGTGAAAGCTTGCTGTGCAGCAGTGTCCGTTTGTGTTAGTCTTGACCCCTCTGTGTTTCTTCTGTTACCTCAGTCTCAGGCACCACACGGGAAGGCCAGCACAGCTAAGGTCTGCACCCCCGAAGCAGCCAAGACAGGGTCAAGTTAAGGTCAGGGGCTATTCTCTGGGAACACATTAACTTCAGTGACTTCTGTAACCAATTCTTACAAAACTAATGCTTTTATGTTGATGTGTAATTTTTAAAGAAACATGTGAATGTCCTAATAAGCATTAGAATTCCACCCTATAATTGAGCCTGAGTTGACTAACCTAAGCATTCTCTATGTCGGATGCAATTCATAACTGAAAACAAATGGTTTGCCTCATTGCCTCGGCTTGTTCAGAGAACTGGAAAGAGCTACCGACAGTTAATTACACCAGGGTCCTTCCTTTCCTAACTTTGGAAATACTTGTTAGCTCCATGAAATAAGGGGCCCAGGTGGAGTGATTGACAGGTGGTTGGCAAACTGGAGCTCCCAATTATTCGTGGATTTCCTTTAGCCTACCAGAGTTTCCTCTTAATTTCATCTGACTTTTTCTGTGTGATGACTGGTATCTTTTGCTATGTTTATAAAGTATTTTAATGTATTTTTCCAGTAAAGCAAATGTAAAGAACGCCCCCCCCCATACCTGCATTGCTGGACTTCCGTGCATGCTGGATGCAAGTGTCTCACACGAACATGAGTGTGTGTTGAGCTCATTCACTCCCGTGACTGCACGTCTGCTGAGCATTCTCCTATGTCAGCGTACTAGCACTGAGCAAAACCCCCTCGGGAGGCCTTCTGCATTCCCAAACCCAGGGTGGCATCTGCTTGCTGCGTGCCCGTGGAATGCTAGATGGAGAAGGCTCTCCACAGGCCGCCCCTGAGCGTGGGGACCTGAAAGTCATTCAGACCATCCCCAGCCGGGAGGCTTTGGCAGCAGGAAACAGGCATGCTAGCTGTTTGGGGAGACGAGACCCCTCTCCTGCGCCCTGTCGTCCGGGCAGGCAGTGTAGGCTTCTGACATCACCGCTCCCGTGCCACGCATGTCCTTCCCTTGCTGTTGGTTTGACACGAAGAGCTTGCTCTCTAACTTTCCGTGTTTTTCTTCCTCCCCCCCCCCCCGTGCTCCTCCAGGCCAGAATGGACTCTTTGAGCCGACCCTACACGTCACTTGTGGCCCCGCTGTCCCCACAAACCAAGATCATGGCCCCTCACGCGGCTTCGCAGCCCTCCCCGCCGCTGCCCCCCCCGCCAGCTCTTCCTGCCCCGAGTTGTAGCTGGGGGTGGCTGGGGCTCGGCCCCCCCTCCCCGCCGCTGCCCCCCGGGCCAGCTCTTCCTGCCCCGAGTTGTAGCTGGGGGTGGGACCCGCAGGGCTCCCGCCGACCGCCTCTTCCCGTTCCCCCTCCTCCCCTTCCTGCACTCAGCCAGGCCCTCTAGGAAAAAAAACTGTCTACCGGGTCACTTAAAGGGGCGCGGAGCTGGGGGGGGG